CAAGCGAGTCTCCTGCCTCAGCCTCCCAAGCAGCTGGGACCACAGGTGCCCACCACAACGCCCAGCTATTTTTTGGTTGCAGCTGTCATTGTTGTTTGGTGGCCTGGGGCTGGATTTGAACCCGGCACCTTAGGTGTATGTGGCTGGCACCTTAGCCACTTGAGCCACAGGCACTGAGCCAAGAGTATGATAATTTCTTACAGGAGCAATTGGAAACAACAGACAAGTATTTTGACATTGGTAGGAAGCTATATAAATGTAATGTATTACTCTTCCAAGATGACATCTTCAGTTAGTCTCTCTAGCAGCCTTGATGGCAGACAACTTAGTTACTGGGAGATTTTCAGAGTTGTATTTCCCCGTCAAAGGCAGATGCCTACCCCTCCCGTTTCAGTGCCTGAAACATTTTGCTTTTGTTCTCATTTTATTTGTGAAGCAGAGTTGATTACCAGGTAATTATCAAACCATCTCCAAACACCTGCCTCTCACCTTTCCTACTTTCTCTTCAATTACTTATCACTTTATTCTTCTCAAAGGCACAGGAGAATACTGTTTTCAGAGTCACAGTATTACACCTACAGTGTACTATATACAGATAATTCCAACTTGGTTAATGAGTTATCCTCTAAAAACTATGCAAAGCGATATGCTAAGTATATATCTATACACATATATGTACATATCTCAACACATATCAAGTTTAAGTTTTCCAAACTTGAGTTTGAATGTTAATGGATTCTCTTCCATAGGTTAAACTATTTTTAATTTATGAAGTAGACTCAAAATTTCAGGGCTAGAGCATCCTTATTAATCCCAAATTTACAAAAGAACCTAGTAATAAAAATCTGAGTAGCAATAAAGGTAATAAAACACACAAATTCATATTTTTAAGTCTTTAAAAATTAACATTGACCAAGTTAAAATTACATAGCGTTTATGAATGGTCTAATCTTTTATAATGGTTCTTAAGCCAAACCCTAAGTATCTTTTTTTGCTCTCTTAGCATTCATTTACACATAATAGGGCTATTCCTTGTTACAGTTTATTTAGTTTTTGAGACAGGGTTTCACTTTGTTGCCCAGGCTAGAGTGCAGCGTTATCACAGCTCACTGTACCTCAAACTCCTGGGCTCCAGCAATCCTGCCTCAGCTTCCCAAGAAGCTGGGACTAGAGATGTGTACCACCTCACAGAGCTAATTTTTAAATTTTTTGTAGAGAAGGGGTCTTGCTCTTGCTCAGGCTGGTCTCAAACTCCTGGCCTCAAGCAATCCTCCCACCTAGGCCCCCCACAGTGCCAGGATTACAGGTGTGAGCTACCACACACCTAGCTCTTGTTACACGTTAGTTAATGCCTCTGTATTTATTTTCTTTTTGCTATTCTCTTACTTTTTTTTTTTTTTTTAGGGGATAGTATTCCGGTGCTTGCTGTTATCCTCAAATTATTAGAGCTTCTCATCTAAACATCATTTTCAATTTGTATTTAACTCCTCCCCCCTCACAAAATCAAGCAGTTTAGTAAGGGAGATGGGAGTCTATGTTAAGCACAAATATATACACAAAGACACACACAGAGGCACATCAATTATCGCATATGCTGGGTTTCTGGAATATGTTCTAGGTGAAATGACACTGATGTTGAGATGCATAACACCCTGTACTTCAACTGCACAGGTAATTAGATCGCATTTAATCATAGTATTAAAAACATCCCAATAGGCTCAGCGCCTATAGCTCAACCGGCTAAGGCGCCAGCCACGTACACCTAAGGTGGCGGGTTCGAATCCCCAGCCCGGACCCGCCAAACAACAAT